CCCCCATTCAATCAACTCCAGTAGTTTCCTATTACTTCTAGGATTAAGTATAAACTGTTTGGCATTTATAGCCCTTCACAACCTGATTCCAACCTATCTTTCTAGGCTTATTATCATTTTACTCCCCTCCATGAACGCTCTAATATAGCCAAACTGGCCTTCTATCTATTCCTCATACATGACACTCCATCTTTTCTCTTCAAGGTTTTGCACTGGATGTCCCTCGTGCCTAGAATACACTCCCTTTTCAGCTCACCGTTTTGCAATCACCAGCTTCCTTCAGGGATTAGCTAGGTACCACTTTCTACACAAAGTCTTTCCTATTACCTGTCAGTTGCTAATGCCTTCCTCACAAGATTATCTTATATATATTTTGTACATGCCTATCTGTGGACATGTTGTCTCCCTTGGCTAGAATGTAAGCTTCTTGAGGGCAGGGACTCTCACTTTTGTCTTTGTAGCCTCAGAACATAGAAAAGTACCCAGAATATAGTAGATACTAAGTAAATACTTGATTTATTGGAATCAGTAACCATACTATAAAGCTGAATAACCATGAGTTTTCAGTGATTCATGGACATGGTAGGACATGGGCTGGTTTTTGAAGAATAAGTTACATTTATATAGATGAGAGAATCAGGGTGTGAAAAGGCCCAAAGTCAAGAATATGCAAAGCACAGTTGGAATACAGTGACTAAACTAACCTGGCAAGAGTTAGTTTAAAATTTTTAAAGAGAGCAGTAGTAGGAGATAAAGTTGGAAAGGTAAATTGTAGCCAGATGATGGAAGGTCCTGAATCCAGCTAAAGAGTCTATACTCTTAGTAGACAGTAAGAAACCACTATTTTTTTTAAATAGAGAAAATTATACTGGCTGTGGTGTGAAGAATAAATCAGATCACAAGATTGTGTAGAGCGGGTATTCTTAAAACTTTTTGTGTCAAAGACACTTTTGGGAACAGCTAGGTGGCATAGTAGATAGAGCTCTGGCCTTGGAGTCAGGAGGACCTGAGTTCAAATCCAACCTCAGACACATGACACTTACTAGCTGTGTGACTCTGTCAAGACACTTAACCCCGACTGCCTCACTAAAAAGCAAACAAAAAAAAAGACACCTTTGGCAGTCTGGTGACAAAGCCTATGGACCACTGCTCAGAATAATGCTTTTAAATATATAAAACAACATCCATAGGCTTAAAAAGAAAATTAGTTATGCAGAAATATAGTCATCAAAACATAAACCAAACAAACAAATTTCATGTACCCCAGGTTAAAAACCAATCGTGTAGAGGGAAGAATATTCATTTGGAAGCTACTGCTGAAGTTGAGAGTTGAGGTGATGAGTGCCTGGACTAGCTTGGTGCCAGTGGGAATGGAAGGGACGATAGGAAGCTGATATTTTAGGAGAAGCAGAGATCTCTCTTTTAATTGTTTCCTTCTACTATATTATGGCAGCTCCTTGTACCCAGAAGGTATCTTGAAGGAAGAAGCTACAGGACTTAGCAGCTGAATAAATGTGGGTGCAAAGGAAGAAAAACCTGTGAATCCAATTAGGTGTCATGAATTCAATTCACTTCAATTCATCAAATATCCATTAAGTGCTTACAGGTTATTGTGCTGGAGGTACAGAGACAAAACAAAATAATTCCACTCCTCAAGAAGGTTATGTTTTGGGGGCAGCTAGGTGGCACAGTGGATAGAGCACCGGCCCTGGAGTCAAGAATACCTGAATTCAAATCCAGCCTCAGACACATAACACTTACTAGCTGTGTGACCCAGGTCAAGTCACTTAACCCCAATTGCCTCACCAAAAACAAACAAATAAGCCAAAAAAAAAAAAGAAGAAGAAGAAGAAGAAGGAAAATTATGTTTGGGTGAGATAATGTATACACAAGAAAGTATATTCAAAATACTGCAGAGCAATTTCAAGAGGAAGAGAATCCTAATAATAGGGGGCATCAAGAAAGGCCTCACGCAGGAAGTGGTATAGAGCTGAGCTTTGAAGGAAACAAAGTCCTCTACAAAGCAGGCATAAGGAGACAGTGAATTCTACAAATGGGGGACCACATACAAAACCGTAGAAATGGAGATGGAATACCAGTTTGACTGGAAGTGTACAGTGTGTAAAGTAGTATAATAGGAAATAATTGGAAATATAAGTGAGGGACAGTTAGTCGATGGCTTTAAATGTCTGGCTGAAGATTTTGTATTTTGTCCTAAAGACAACCAGGGCAGGGGCCACTGAAGATTTTTTAGTAGGAGTATGGCATTGGGAGACAGTATGTTATAGTTGATAAAGCATTGCCAGTGGAATCAGAGGATCTCAGTTTAAATCTCGTCTTTAATATTTACTTCCTGTGTGACCTTGGACTGTATGACCCTGGAGTTGCTTAGCCTCCCCAGGCCTCAGTTTCATCATTTGTGAAATGAGAGGATTGGACTAGATTACTTCTAAGATCCCTTTCAGCTCTAAATCTGTGACCTTGTAGTGCATTAAAATTGTGTCTGTTATGGTCCCCACCACCACTCCACCAGTAATATGGGAAATGAGTATGTAAAAGCTAGTATAAAATAACAATAAATAGGAAATAGTAATTAAGAGTGTAAGGAGAAAACAGAGAAGGCAAGTGGTCAAAACTGCCTCCTAAATTAATTAAGGCCATATCCAGAAACTATATGTGCTAAATAAAGAGAAACTGGCTAGGCCCCCATAAAAAAGACCCTCAGCCTGCAAGCCATAGATTAGGCTATAGCCATGCCCAGTAAAACCAAAAAAAGATATATTCATGAGGCAACTTTGAGGTGATGTGGCTAAATCTTAGTTACCCCCCTCCTAGAACCCTATAAAACTAGAACCCCCAAAACCCTGCCCCTTGAGCACTCCTCTAAGTGCTATGGATCCACCCTGCCAGAGTGCTCCCAAGTCTTCTCTGAAGTTATGTGGCCCTCTGACTCCCCCATCTATTTCCCTCACTATCTGCCTCCCTCTCCCAGCCCATTCCCTACTCTGTCCCCGAGCAATCTGCCTCAGTACTCTCTGTGCCTTATTAAAGCGTGATTGATGCATTGTTCCGCATTTGCTGCCAGCATGATCTTTCCCAGCGAGTATCCAAAGAACTAGGTTTGTTTACCCTGACCTGCCCAGGAAGCCCCTTGTGGTCCCCTTCCTTAAAGCATAAGCCGGGCTAGGATTTAATTTGTCAGAAGCCGTACTTACCATGGGGAAGTGTGGTACTACAAACCCACTGGTAGAGAGCAAAAGCTGACAGATGAACTCTGTGCCCCTCCCTGCAGAGTCCTCACCTCACTTTCAGGCTTAATAGAACATATGGTCAGATGTGTGTTTTGGGAATAAGAATTTGGCAGCTATCTGGACGATGGATTGGAGAGAAAAGAGTTTGGAGTTAGGGAGACCAATTAATTTTTTGTAAATAGTCCAGATAAGAGTCCTGAATTAGGGTGAAAGTTAATTTTAATGGAGGGAAGAGGACATGTGTGAGAGATGTTGTGTACAGGTAGAGCCAACAGGACATGGCTATCTCCCGAGAGGCAGTGTGATCCAGGGAGGGGAAAGGCTATGGATGGTTCTGGAGTCAAAAGCCTCCAAAAGTCCCATCCTGCCTTCATCACTTAAGACCTGTGTGACTTTGTACAAGTCACCTAACCACTCTGGGCTCCAATTTATTCCTCTATAAAAATGAGGGGCTTGGATGAGATGACCTCAGAGGTTCCCTCCATCTCTAAATCAATGATCCTATGATTTGATGTGGAAATTGAGGATGTGGAAAGAGTCAAGAATGATTTCAACGTTGTAAACCTGGGATGCCATCACTAGAATGACATTCTCCAGCAAGGTTCAGTTCCTGCGGGTGATCCACATTTAGGTATTGGTGTAAACCAAACCAACATGTTCGTGTGAAAATGCAACAGACATAAATGGTTGCTTTAAACAATAAAAAATGTTTTTATTAGCTTAAATATCTTTTATGTAAAACAAGAACACCAGAACTTATCATTGAAGTTAGTTTTGTTGTTAATGTTGTGGAGTCTGACTCTTCATGACCCCTTTGGAGTTTTCTTGGCAGAGGTACTCGAGTGGTTTCCCTTTTCTTTCTCCAGTTCATTTTACAGATGAGGAAATTGAGGCAAACAGGGTGAAGTGACTTGGCCAGGGTCACACAGCTAATAAGCGTCTGAGGGCACATTTGAATTGAGAAAGATGAGTCCTCCTAACTCTAGTTCTTGTTCTGGTTCTATTCACTGTACCACCCAGCTGCCCTACTGAATAATGCCTATGCTATAAAGCCAGAAAGCCAAGGACAAAGTCATTGGTAGAAGTGTCAGCGTCAGAACAGGACAAGATTTCAGGATGGTAGAGAGTTTGTTGATGAAATGGCTGATAAACTAGGTTCAGGCCCTAGAGTGAGGTGAGTGAAGTCGGGAGAAAATCGAAGTTTAAGGGAGACAGCCAGGCACGTTGAGGGTAAGTGCTTACTAAGTGTCTGCTGAGTGCTTGGCAAACAATAACAGAACAAAATCCTCATCTTCACTCAGCTGTGTTGTACTGGTCCTTCTCACCTTCCTGACGTCCCAGCCCCCTTCAAGAGCAAAGGACCAACAACAACGTCGAATGCTGTTGTTCAGCCATTTCAGGCGTGTCCGACTCCAGGGTCACACAGCTAGTAATGTCTGAGACCAGATTTGAACTCCAAGCCCAGCTCTCTACCCGCTGTACCACCTAGCTGCCTGGTTATTATTATATCACTAAGAGAGCTTATTCTTAATCATTCAGAGACTGTCCATCTTATTAAGGATTGTTACTGTTGCTAATATTTTTTTTTCCTTTTTCTTTCAGCTTTGTCCTTGCTGTTGGGCAGCTTGGTAACAGTGGATAGAGTGCCAGGCTTGGAGTCTGGAAGACTCATCTTCCTGTGCGACCCTGGGCAAGTCACTTAATGCTGTTTGCCTCAGTTTCCTCATCTGTATAATGAGTTGGAGAAGGAAATGGGAGACCACTCCAGCATCTTTGCCAAGAAAACCCCAAATAAGGTCGTGAAGATTTAGACACAGCTGAACAACCAGTCACCAGAAGGGAATCCAGATAAAAGAGTAAGTTAATCCCCAAGCAGTCAGTTCCACTCTTCATCAATTTCAATAAAAGACTTCTGGGAGAAAGGGGAAGGGATGACTATCTGCTAAAATTAGATTTTGGGATTATCTCTGGAATTCCTTTATCTTAGGCCCCATCCAGCTCTATCTTCATCTTCCAACCTTCCCTCCTCCATTGCCCTCCCTATTTGCATGCCTAATTGCAAACTGGTAATAAATTCTTTCATTTGATACCTTCAGATACTTGGTTACCAAGCCACTTCTTCTGAGTCTGTCTTCGAGGAATGAGAGGGAGCCTTGTAAGAAGAGCCGCCTGTCAGCGCGCCTACGCTTTTAGCTCCAAGGGGAAACTGAGAATGGACAGAGACAGAGTGGAAAATACTTCAGGCTATTAGAATCTTGGCTTTAAACTTCAACTAACCCTTGGAGAAAGGTTTAGGAAAATTGGGTGTCAATTCTCTTATTTTTTCCTCCAAGGCATCACCTTGAGTCTGGTAGGCACTCAACAAATGTTTGTTAAATTGAATGTAGCAGATCCATGCCTAGAATGCCGTGAAATCTATGTTAATTAGCTAGATTTTTCTCCCGTTCTGTATAAGTCAGGGGTGCTGTCTTACAAAGTTCTTTGGAGCCAGAATATGACTCACTGTAAATGGATCAAGAAGAGTTTTGAAATTCAGTAGGGACAGATAGACTGCATCTTCTCAAGACCTGGGTACTTAAAGGAAAAAAATGACCTACATATGGACTCTGTTCTCCATGCAAAATAAGTGGTGAGTGCCAGCCGTGGAACAGATGTTTGGACTCTTGCCACATGAATTCGAATGTGGCTCTGGCCAATCTTTTCTCTCTTCTTTGGTCTCTGTGCTTCCGTACTGAGTGGCAGCTCCTTTGCAGAAGAGGTGAACCTTGGGCAATTTTTGAATGAAGAAAGGTTTCTCTACTTGAGGATGTCCATGGACTAAGTTTCAGGAAAGGCTGGAATCTCAGTGAGAGCTAAACAGTATAGTATTTCCCGGTATAGTGCTAGGAAATCCTGAAAGTATTTAACATACTAAAGCTTCCAGGCTCAACAAGTGTAGCCAGTTCCATTACCACCACTACAGCTTCAGCTTCCACCTTGGGCTTTGCCTTGAATCTAAAGCCACTGACAATACCTGGCATTGCCATCATCCTTCCACCCTTGGCTACCACAGTTCCAAGCTGACAATGGATCAAGAGACTCCTCTGTCCCATACCCCTGTGACAACTTATGCTCAGCTGGAAAGTTTGATCAATAAGTGGAGTCTTGAACTGGAGGACCAGGAGAAACATTTCCTTCAGCAGGCCACCCAGGTGAATGCTTGGGACCGGACATTAATTGAGAATGGTGAGAAGATCACTTCCTTACACCGAGAAGCAGAGAAAGTGAAGCTGGATCAGAAAAGGTTGGACCAAGAACTGGACTTTATCCTGTCACAGCAGAAAGAACTGGAGGACCTACTGGCCCCTCTGGAGGAGGCCATGAAGGAGCAAAGTGGGACTATCTATCTGCAGCATGCAGATGAGGAGCGAGAGAAAACTTATAAACTAGCAGAGAATATAGATGCTCAACTGAAGAGCATGGCCCAAGATCTCAAGGACATCACCGAGCACCTGAATATGTCTGGAGGGCCTTCGGACACCAATGATCCACTCCAACAGATCTGCAAAATTTTGAATGCACATATGGATTCGCTTCAGTGGATTGATCAAAATTCAGTCTTGTTGCAGCAGAAGGTGGAAGAGGTATCAAAGGTTTTCGAGAGTCGTCGCAAGGAGCAGGAACGTAGCTACCGAATTGCGTTTGATTAAATGTCCTGAGATCTCTTGGAGAGTATTGCTGTCTTGTTCATTACCTATCCATTACATAAAAGGTCCTAGAGTATAAACTTGAGTAAGACATATAGTTATCTACTGTAGTTATTTTTTGTTACGGTAAAGTTTGTTGGAATTCTTCTCCATTCTAAATCTTTATGGTGGTAAGAAAAAAAAACCATGCTGGAATTTGCATAAGTTTTATTAAAATTTTGTGAATCTCTTTATGCCCATTAAATTGCATGATGCTTTATGACGTCTTCAAAAAAAAAAGGTTGCAATCTCAGTGAGAACTGAACATTATGGTATTTCACAGTATGATGCTAGAAAATACTGAAAATATTTAATGGTGTGTCTCAGGTTCTGGTATGTATCTCTCTGCAAGCCACATGAGACTGCCCCCTCAAAAATCTGGGCCAAGACTGGCTGAGTCCTTCCCTGGATGACCCCCCTAAACCAACTCATACCTAGGGTTACTTAGTGATTTGGTAATAATAGCCTGTGCTTCTATAGCACTTTTCAATTGACAAAAATCTTTCCCCAAAACATTCTTGTGAGATGGGTAATATAATAATTGCCATTATCACTATTTTACAGGTGAAGAAACTGAGAAGCAGAAAGATTAAGCAACTTGCCCAGGGTCATTGTCAGAGCAGGAACTTGAAGCTAGGTCTTGTGACTCAGTGCTCTTTCCATTAACAGCACACTGCCAGGTCCTGGGCCCTTAGGAGTGGAGTTGAGGAGCCCAGGTGAGGGAGTGAGTGGATATGGGAGGGGTGTGTATCAACAGAATGTGAAATTCTTATCTCCCTAAACAAGGGTGTCAGATTCAATACTCTCTAAATTCCCTTCTAGCTTTAAATCCTGTGCTTACTAGTCGAAGGCAATGGGATGGGGAAGGGAGCAAAACAAAAGCCATTTGTCTACCCATATACGTAACTGCTACTGGATAATGCATAAATGTCACCCCTCTATCTAAGCCCCAGCCACCTTAATGGGAATCTAAAGGCTGGGCTATTTACCCAGTTACTTACTACAGTTTTTTGAATTTAAGTCCACCAAGCTTCCTGGTTAGAACTGACTCTTCAGGATAGACCATACAAAAGACCAACAATTTTTTTCCTTTCCTGAACTATTAAGTAAATAATTTAATTCATTACTAGTGATATGCTACAACTTACTTATGCCTTTTCATAGGTGTCTTTGGGTTCCGTACAATCTCCATTCTTTAGAGGCTGGGGGAATTACATGACTCACAGGCAAATGATGATGTCACTGGAAGAACATTGATGTCATACAGCAGCTTGGATTTGTCAAAAGTGCTGCACAATTTCCCCAATGCAATCCAGAGACACATGGTAGGTAATGAAGACATTTATGAGAGGTGGAAATAGGACCACATAGGCTGAAGCATGTGACCAATGATCACTTGCATGCAAGAAGGAGAATAAGGCATATCAGTCAGGAAAAAATATGATTGGAAGTTGGTCACATATTGAGAGTGACAGATAACCCATTGGTACTCATGAAATGTTAGAAGACCTAGAAGAAATCTTCTAGTGCATTAAGTGGAGCTAGTGGATGATTTTGGGGGGAAGACATAGATAAGAAATGAACAAGATGAGAAGAAGCTGATGGGCTATACTTAGTATAATTGAAGGGAGTACTCACATCCGTGAAATCATGGATCCTTTGACAATGTAGACAATTTCCAAAGTTCTCAATTTACATGGATCCAAGTTCATATCTTAGAGATTCCTCAATAATTGATACTCTTGGATTCATGGTTGCCCTCATCTCTTTGGGAATATCTGAATTTGACCAATTTTTAGCTTCTCCCTAGAGATATTCAGTTCCTCTGGAAAGCAACTGAGGGTACAAAGACATGGAGCATAGACCAACTTTTATAAACACACAACAAAGAATCTAGGATGGACTTGAGCTAATAGACAATCCAGGAAATGTTCTTTGGTGTCATCCACATTCCCCAGGGACCCAGAGAGTTGTCCCAGACTTATAGAACCACCATGAGTTTATTGGTCAGTCATGTCCAACTCCTTATGACCCCATTTGGGGTTTCTTGGCAAAAAATACTGGAGTGGTTTGTCATTTCCTTCTCCAGCTCATTTTACAAATGAGGAAACTGAGACAAACAGGGTTAAATTACTTGCCTGCCCAGGGTCACACAGCCAATAAGTATCTGAGGTTACATTTGAATTCAGGAAGATGAGTCTTCCTGATTCTAAGCCCTGTGTTCTATCCACTGTGCTGCCTAGCTTCCCCATGAGGTTGAGGGCCTCTCTTAAGCAAGAAAAACACTCTGGATCACTAAAGAATCATTACCTAGTCCCTGGTTCTGCACAATCCATATTGTTTATAGTAGCACTGAAGGACAAGATCCAAGTTTCCTCTTCCACACAATGAGTTTGTGCCTTAATGCTCCTTGATTCTGGTTGGCATGGTTTCTAGCTTGAAGTAGAACTCCTCCATCATGGTGCCACTGACATTGCTCAGCAGAGTATTTTTGTCCTTTGTCTGATGCCCATTGCTTTCGTGCACAGCTGCTACTGCCATCTTTTCCCCCTTCTTCAGGATAGTGTTTCATCTCTTGCAAAGAGATAGCCTGGGTCAATATGCCTTTGGACTAGTTAACACTATTTCCCTCTTTTGTTGGTTAACGTTCTACCCAGTTAACACACAGAAGGGCCACTCAGGCATCTATTAAGATGTTTTGACTAACTTGGTTCAACTGCTTGAACCTAGTTCTTTGGCCCTACCTAAGATAAGGTGACTCACTTGTACAATTTATTTAAAATAGATGATGACATATTGACCTTGTTTCCTCTCTCATTGATGAATGAGAGATCTCTGTGGGCGTTTGTAGAATGGTGGAGATATCTCTGTGGTCTGATGCTCTGTCTACTACTTCCAATGGTAGATACTTGACCAGTTAGCAGTCACTCACTATAGGAGATGAAGACTGAGGAGCTGGTAAGATACCAGAATTTCCTAAAGGAAGCTCTTTTCATTAACCACAGTTCTGGTAGTATCTACAACATCTCTCAGTTCTTGAACAGCAACATCAGATCGTACATCTTGAATAGTAGATCTCATAGGTAGCTTAAACTTGACATGTCTCAGACCGAACTCATTATCTTTCCCACCATGTCCTTTCTTCCTAACTACCCTGTTACTGTAGAGGGCACCATCATCGTCCCAGTCACTTAGGCTCAAAACCCAGGTGTCATTCTCCACTTCTCTCTCTCTTTCCCCTGCCCCCAAGTCCTGTTGGTTCCATCTTTGCTATGTCTCACCTATGTCCCCCCCTTCTCTCCTCTCACACTACATCACAATGGTATAGGTCTTCATCCTCTCACTCACAGACTATTTCAATAGCCTTCTGGTTAATCTCCCTGGCTCAAGTCTCTTTTCATTCCCCATTCAGCTGTCAGAATGATCTTCCTAAAGTGCAGATCTGACTATGTTACCATTTTATTTGATAAACTCCAATTACCCTATTACCTCCAGGACCCCGTTTGACTTTCAAAACCCTTCATTATTTGGACTTTTCCTACCTTAACAGGCTTCTTAGACCTTACTTCCCTCCACACACTCTTCAGTCCAGCAACACTGAACTCCTTGCTGTTTTAAACAGAAGATGTTCCGTCTCTTGACTTCAGGCACTTCTCTAGCTGTCCCTTTCCCTTGGAAAGCTCTTCTTTTTAATTTCTTCTTCCTCTTAACCTAACCATTTGAGTTCTGCTAGTCACTTAACCTCAGGCTACCTCTGTTTTCCTAACTATAAAATGAGGACACTAATAGCACCTACCTCCCTGGGGTAGTTGTGAAGATAATATAATAGGAGCAGGCATTGAATGAATGCTTGTTCCCTTCCTCTCCCCACCACCCACCCCTGACCCTTTTAGACCTTTAGCTTCTTTTGCTGCCTAGTTCAGACCCTATGCAAAGGATTCCCAGAACCCTTCAGTTATGGATACACCCTCCTACTCACATTATCTTGTATTTACTTCTCTGTTTTCCTGTTGTATCCCTTATGTAAGATCATTAGGGGTAGGGATTTTTGCTTTTGTGTTTGTCTGTATTCCCAGATCTACATATAGTTCTTTCGTATAATGTTCAAAATAAATAATGCACATTTGCTGGATTGAATTTGTTGTTGGATTGAATTGGAGGTCTCAATTCAAGTAGGTGCCTTATTCAAAAGGAATAAGAAAGATAAAAGGTAGTGAGTGTCAGGGGAGGTCAAGTGCAGAGAAGAACTATATATTAAGAAGATAATATTCACAAAGGAAATCCAGGAACCAGAGCAGGAAAAGCATAGTAAAGACTATTCAGCTGAAGATCAGAGGTAAAAACAGAAATGAGATCAAAGTGTAGATCACCTGGACAGAAAGAGGAGATAGATGGGATGTTTGGGAAACAGATCACAACCCTAACATGGAGCTATGAGAGGATAGTAATAGGGGATTTCAGTGATCCAGACATCTGCTAGAACTCTCTCTACTAAAAACAGGACAGTTAGTAATTTCCTGACTTTAATGATTATGTCACTCTTTGAAAGGTGGAGAAACCAATAAAGGGAACTTCCATGCTAGGCCTGATTCTCACCAATAGGAAGGAACTGGATATTTGGGTCTAAATGAGGTGAACCTTGTGGGTAAATAACCACTCCATCTTAGAATTTGCAATAGAGGAGAAAAGGAAAGCTAGCCAGAGTCTGACATGCATCCCTGATTATGTTATGGTAGGATTCCATAGCCTAAAATTCTACAGAGGAAACCTGGAGAGATGGACTGTTCTGAGGGATGAAATTCTATAGATAAGAAGAGAAATATTTTAATTAAAGATGAAAAGTCCAAATAATGAAGGGCTTTGAAAGTCAAACGGGGTCCTGGAGGTAATAGGGTAATTGGAGTTTATCAAATAAAATGGTAACATAGTCAGATCTGCACTTTAGGAAGATCATTCTGACAGCTGAATGGGGAATGAAAAGAGACTTGAGCCAGGGAGATTAACCAGAAGGCTATTGAAATAGTCTGTGAGTGAGAGGATGAAGACCTATACCATTGTGATGCAGTGTGAGAGGAGAGAAGGGGGGGATATAGGTGAGACATAGCAAAGATGGAACCAACAGGACTTAGGGGCAGGGGAAAGAGAGAGAAGTGGAGAATGACACCTGGGTTTTGAGACCTGGCTAAAGAGACTAATGTGGATACGTAGGGACTTCATCAATCCGTGTAGATTTATTTTTAAATGTATTATTATCTTTTGTTTTTAGATTTTCTTTATTTCCAAATATATGTCTTCTCCCTTCCCTATCCACAATGCCATCTCTTGTCACAACAAATAAATAAGAAAGGGAAAAAAAAAACAGTTCTGCAAAACTGAACTACAGAGCCAGGCAGTATGTTCAATATTCCATACACATATTCTCCCACAAAAGAAAATTTTTTTCTCATTTCTCCTTTGGAGATAACTTGGTCATGACAATTACACAGTGTATGTTTCTTTGTGTTGTTGTTGTTTATTTTGTCATTTACATTGCTGGAGTCATCATGTTTATCGTTTTCCCAGTTCTCCTTATTTCACTTTACATCAGTTTGTGTAAGTCTTTCCAAGTATGCTTCTCTGAATTCTTTGTGTTAATTGTTTCTTATGGCACAATCATATTCCATTACTTTCATGTATCACAATTTTAGTTCAGTGATTCGAGAATCTATTGGAGCCTACTTTGTTTGCTGCTACCACACCCACCTACCCCCTCACCCCACCCCCAAATATTGCTGTAAATATTTTGGGATTTTTCCAACCTCCTTTCAGTGGAATTTCTGGGTTAAAGGGTGTAAACCTTTTCATTCTTTTTTAAGCATACTTTCAAATTGCTTTCCAGAATAATTCAGGGGTGGGGAACCTTCGGTCTCAAGGCTACATGTGGCCCTCTAGGTCCTCAAGTGTGGCTCTTTGAATCCAAACTTCACAGAATAAATTGGGACAAAGGCATGGCTGTATCCACAGTATATTGGTGTACTTGGCTTTCCACAGCTGAGCTACCCTTCCCTTCAAAAAGTGGTTTTCCCTTTTAATACAAGTGGGAAGGGGTGAGTATATCTTGTCAGTTCCAACATCTATAGTTTGGTTGTATTATGGCTGTATTCTTTATAACTCATCTTTTTTGAGGCATCCTAATAATTTAAAAAATAAATGAAAAGTTGAATATAAGCAAACTATCAGATTTTTTTAAAAAAATGTACATATCACCAAATAGCTCAATTGCCTGAATTTTGAACTTTTAAACTAATCATTTTGAATAAGCTTTTGAGACATCTCCTTTACCAAGATATGGCAAAAAGTTGAAAAAAAAATACAGTGGGGCTGCCTTTTGTTTCTTGATAACCACACCTCACCTTTCATCCCATGAGCTCAAAGCCTTTCCTCAGACTCATTAATTCTTAACCTTTCTTTGAGGCCAGTGGATGTCAAGTATTATTAGCCCCATTTTAAATATTATGAAACTAAGGAAAGCAAAGATGTCTATTGACTCAGACATGTTCACACAGGGAGATAGGGCAGAACTAAGTGAGGGGGCAAGTTCAGCTTTCCTTCTCTCCAGGGCACCTAGCCAAGCAGCTTCTCAACTGTGCTTGAAATTAAGGAACTTGAGTGGGGTGGGGCTCCAGGAATGTGACATTGAAAGAAGAATCATGTCTTTTCTTCATGTGTTCTTCATTCAGACTGCTCTTCAGAGGGCAGAGACTGTATCTTATTTCCTCATGTTTTAGAACCTAAGTATTAATAAATTATATTTCTATAGAACTTTCTTGTTCATAAGGTACTTTTACTTACATTCATTTTTAACCCAATAAGAACTTATTAAGCACCTACTCTGTGCATGGAACTGCTTTAAGCATTGAAATTTAAAGGTGAAAAGTTACACGCTGCCTTCTATTAGAGGAGAGGCAGCTTGGCACAGTGGAGAGAGAGCTGGCCTTGAAGTCAGAAAGACCTGGGTTCAAATCCCATTTCTGACACGTACCGAATAACTTTGGCCAAGTCACTTAACTTCTCAGGGGTCTAGGCAATTCTCCAAATCTATAAGTTGCAGAGAATTTGTAGACCTCATTCGTAAAGGGAGCTCCCTATACCAATGAAATTACAAGTCCAGTCCCTGCCCTGCTATTTTCTATCAAAGAATGAGTTTAATGTGAGGAGGGAATACCGCATACAGAAATATGCAAATGAGGCCACATATTATAGAAGGAGAAGTGATTTCTGGACTAAATGATTTAAGAGTTTTGAGGAGGAAGAGGCTGCTTTTAGCTGTGGAGATGTCTGAGACAGCTTCATGGAGAAAGTAGCACCTGAGCTGACCCTCCTAGGGAAAGATGCCAAGATGTAGAAATGAAGAGAAGGTGCACTCCAGGTAAGAAAGAGAGCCTACGGGAATGGAGGAAGGGGAAGGAGCACAGGACAACATGGGAAACATCAGCTCCTAGTTCAGTTTGGGTAAAATGTAGCACATGGGAAGTGGCATGGGGGAAATCATCCTGTAACGGTGGGTTAGTCAGTCCTGGAAGGGTTTCAGTGTTAGACAAAGGAGTTCATATTTTGATCCCATGGTAATGAGGTAGGGAGGAGCTACTCAAGCATGAGCAGAGGAATGAAGTGATCAGACTTGTGCATTCAGAATACTATTTTGGCAGCTCTATTGTAGAGGGGTGAGACTTGCAAAGGCGTGCTGGAGCCAGAACCAGTTCATTCTGGCTAGAGAGAGCTGATTGTTAAATTTTCAGTGTGAGCATTTATATCTCAAAAATTGAAAAACACGACAGGACAAACAAATCATGGCTTGATTTATTTGTTTTTGTCAAATATCTAGACTTAAGAAAGTGTTAGAGGAAATATAGATTATTTAACATAGAATTTAAAATACTTAATGTAGGTTAAGTTTAAAAAGTACATAATGGGTACATCGTGGAGGCAGGGAGTGGCAGGGCAAAACTGATTGTTAAGCATTTACCAGCATGCCCTTGGGTGAAAATAAAAGCAAGGAAACCAGCTAGAAGTCTATGTCACAGTGGTTCAGATGAGAAGCGATGAGGGCTTGAACTAAGGTGGTGACAGTATGAGTGGAGAAGAGATATTGTGGAAGTCACACCATTCAGATTTGGTGACTGATCAGATGGAGAACAGGAAGGAAGGAGAACGAGAGGAAAGAGACAAAGATGACTGAGTTTTAAGCAAGGGTGATGGAAGAATGGTAGTGCCATGAAAGGGAAAGCAGAAGTTGGGCTGGGGGAGTTTTATAGGAAAGACTAAGTTCAGACATGTTGAATATGAGAGGCTTGCAGGACATCTAGGTGAAGACGGATAGTAGGTTGACAAATGAAGGCTTGGATGTCAGGGGAAAGATAGGAACTAGATGGTAGATAATAGGAGTCATCTGCATAGGAATGGAACTGTGAACAGATAAGAACTGAGAAGAAATGTTCAAAGAGAAGAGGCCTAGGATAGCACTTTGAAGGGTGGCCACACTTGGGGAGGAAGAATGTATACTGAAGGGAGGATATCAAGAAGAAGTAGTCAGAAAAAGGAGAACCAAGATGCAGCAGTGTGAGAAAAGCCGAGCAGTGGCAGGGGGTGGGGGTGAGGTGTAAGGGAGGGGGATGAGAAGGGGGTCAGTTAGTGTCAGGAGATGCCAAAACTTCAAAGAAGGGAAAGGCTGAGAAAAGGTCATCAGATTTAGCAAATAAGAATTATTTGAAGTTTCAGGGAAGTTTCAGTACAGTGGTGAGGTTGGAAGCTAGCTTGCAAGATGTTAAGGAGTGAAAGGTTGGTAAGGATGTGGAAATAGCACAGATCGGTCTTTCTATGAGTTTATCGGTGAAATGGAAGACAGAGAGGAGACAATAGTTTGAATCTATGGCAGGGTCAAAGGAAGGTTATTTTAGGAATAGAGAAGACTCAAGAATGTAGGCAACAATGAATGAACCATTAGATGGGGAGAAACTGAAGAAGACAGTGGAGGGAGAATGAGAGAGAGAGAGAGAGAGAGAGAGAGAGAGAGAGAGAGAGAGAGAGAGAGAGAGAGAGAGAGAGAGAATGATCTAAATTGCAAAAGCCCACAAGCAATAGGAGAGAATAGCACCAAAGATACAAATAGAAGGATTAGTCTTGACCAACTCTTCCACAGAGAAAGAAGTAAAGGAAAAGAGGATATGTAAAGACATAGAGAGGTTTTTAGATATAGAAGAGAAGAGGTAAATGAGCTCATGATGGGTGACTCAATCCTCTTCGTAAGTAGACAAAGTTATTTGCTGACAGGTAGAACTGAAAGCCTGAGGGGAGAAAAAAAGAGTCACTGTTAGGAGGCAGCTAGGTGGTTCAGTGGATAGAGTGCTAGGCCTGGAGTCAGGAAGACCTGAGTTCAAATCTGGCATCAGATACTCACTAGCTGCATGACCCTGGGCAAGTCACTTAACCTCTGTTTGCATTAATCCACTGGAGAAGGAAATGACAAACCACTCCAGCATCTTTGCCAAGAAAGCCCCAAATAGGGTCATGAAGAGTCAGACATAACAACAGCAACCAGGGGAGAGGAATTTTTAAGACAAGTGGATATTCCTGAGCACAGGGATTAGAGGAACAGGAGGTAGGAATTTGTTAGACATTGAGCAGGAAAGGTATATGGAGAAGCTGGTAGAGTCAGTAGGTCTGCAGGTTCTAATTAGAACAGAATGTCTGTATGAAGGGGCCTCTGCTGCTGATATCCCCCACATAGAGCACACACTCTTGATTGTAGCAGGAGAGACAAGAGCTGAGGCTTATAGTATACAGGAGGAGATGAAGGAGCCCTCTGTCAAAGGAATGGAAATTCAGTAGAAGGTCTAAGTCAAATAAATTCTGTAGGCTCACAGACACAGAGACTAGGACAATCTGAAACTGATTAATTTAAAACACTGTAGAGAAATGAGTCACCAGGCCCAACTATATTATATCTCAGGTTTCTGAAAGAATTGGTAGCTGTGATTGCCAACCTACAGTCCAAGATCTTTAAAAAATGATAGAGGGTAGAAAAAGTGCTGCAGTATTAGAGATAAGAAACTTGCTGTCCCCAGGGTAATAGGAGAGGATAGATTTTTCAAGTTATAGATTTGTGAATTTAACTTCAATTTCTAGAAAATTTTTGAATTATTAATTAAATTAATGGGTTTTTATTAGTATGAGCCAGAATGAGTTCATCAGGAATAGGTTATGTCAGACTAATAGTCAGTCAATAAATATTTATTAAGAACCTACTTTGTGCCAGGCACAAAGGGTTAAGTGCTAGGGAAACAAAGAAAAGCAAAAGATAGCTCCTGCCCTCAAGGAGCTCACAGTCTAATGGGGAACACAACATGCAAACAACAATGTACAAATAAACCACAGACAGGATAAATTGAGGATAATCAATAGAGGGAAGGTGTTGGCTTTAAGAAGAATCAAGAGAGACTTCCTATAAAGGATAGGATTTTAGTTGGGACTGGAAAGAAGCGAGGGAAGCCAGAAGATAGAAATGAGGCGCTAACACCATTTCCTTTAGCAGCAGGTTTACTTATCTGACAGATTGTTATAGATGTACTCTACCTAGAGTTTTTTTGCAGTTTAGGTGAAGTCTCTAACAATAGCATTTTGGACAAGATGAAGAGTTACGCAGGCTTGAGGATAGATGACATAATGAGATAAATTAAGGATTAGTTGAATGGATGGACCCCAATGGAATTTCTTTAGTCATTCAATGTCAGTTGGGAATAGAGGTTTTGGGAAAGCCCAAAGTCTCTGTCCTTGGCTCTATGCTACTTATCATTTTGATCAATGACCTGAAGACGTAAATGGCATACTTATCGAATTTGCAAATGATGTAATGCTCATAGGCAAAGCAAATACCTCTAGACAATCAACAAAATAATAAATCAAGTCCTGATTTGGAGTAGTTGCTGATTTCCAAGGTGTAACTGCTCACACTCAAAATTTAACAATCTCAGCCCAATGAGCTGGCTCCAACAAACTTCCCCAAAATGAAGGTCGTTAAGCAGAGATTGAATAACTTGTATTGTGGTGTAGTTAGAAGGGTCTTCTGACAGTTAGGGCATAGGTTGGACTAGATGATCTCTGAAGTACCCCTACCCCTGAAATTATGTAATTAAAAAAATGCCAAGGGCTACAAAAAGATCAAGGAAGGTCAAGGAAGATGAGGCTTAAGAAAGACCCATTGGATGTGGCAGATAATAAGAGGTCCTTGATGACCTTTGAGAGAGCAGTTTCAGGAGAGTGGTAGGGACAGAAATCAGGCTTTTAGGAGCTTGAGAAGTGCGTGGGTGGTTAGGAAGTGAAGGCAGTGAGAATACTCTACTCCTAAAAGTTTAGCAATGAAGGGGAGGAGAGATATAGGACAATAGCTTGGGGGGTATTTCATTTAATTATCACAACCCTGTGAAGTAGGTAGAATGGTAATTATGATCTTCATTTTATAGATGAGGAAACTGAACTCATAGAGGTTAAATGATTGGCCTAAGGTCATCCAGACAATAATTGGCATTTTTCGTATGAATACGTGTCTTCTAGTGTTGGGTTCATAGATTTCATTTCTCACTATTGTGATAGGCAAGACCCAGCGATTCCATATAAATTTTCAAGTTGTTCATTGTATGTTATCATTTGAAATACAAATGGGGGTATCAATCTGCAGGATCCCCAAACTGGATGGCTCATTGCATCATTCAGACATTGAGCAATATGCGTTGCAGAAATGGTCCTTTCCTCCATCCTATCACAGCTGTTTATAGTCAGGATTAGTAAAATGTGAGAAATAAAGGAAAGAGGGCAAAAGGGCAAGTCATATTTTTTTCAAAATATGGAGGTAAGGGAGAAATAGACCAAGTAGGTGGAGAATGGCATTTCTCAAAAGCAGAAGATAGTGAGGCAGTGAGCCAAAGAAGACCAGAGTGGCAGAAGTGGATGGGATAGCAGTGAACAATTGAATCTATCCGCCTTATTTGTCTTTTGGGTCCATTCCTTTCCCTTCCTCCAATTCAACAGTTCAATTCAATAAACATTAATTAAGAGCAGGGTGTGAGACATTTTTGCATAATGCCAAAAGTAGTTCAGTGGATAAAGAGTGGAATCAGGAAGACCTGAGTTCAAATTCTGCCTCAGACACTTACTAATTGTGTGATCTTGCACAGTCATTTAACCTCTATTTGCCTCAGTTTTCTTCATCTGTAGACTAATGATGGCATCTACCTCTCCAGGTTGTAGTAAAGATCACATAAAGTGCTTTGCAAGCCTTAAAGTGCTATATAAATGCTATCTATTATTACTAGTTATTAAGTCCCTGGCCTCCAGGAGTTTACATTCTAGGAAAGGAGAGCATATAATGGTGCA